ATTTACGAGATCTTACACTTTGTCTATTTGGTATTGCTGTTTCACAAGGATGTGAATGAAAATTTTCTATACTTAAATGGATTATTGAAGATAGGCGTACAAGAATTAATGTTCAAAAGTTTGAAAGTATTTCTAAAATTTGTTCTTATTATTTAACAAGCATTAAAAATGAATTATTATATTATGAAAAGCATTTGAATAAAGCAGAATTAAGAGAAGTTGCCAATATTTCAGCAGTTGGTGAAATTATTGCTTTAGATAATAATAATATTATTAATCATATATCATTAGAGAAAAATCAGGTAGCTCAGAAGAGAGAAGGTATACAAGAATATACTACTTTAATATTAGAGAATATTATTGATTTTATATAACCGATCTTTGAAAATGTAGAAAATGTGAATACTAATACTAATGAAGAAATTAATATAGATAGAAATATAGATTTTAATCCTATTGATTTAGTTAATCAAATTTTAGAAAACTAATTAAACTAATTTATTAATTGTTAATTTGTTGTATTAAATTTAAATTTATTGAATAAATTTATAAACCATATGTTAAATTCGCAAGTTTTATTATATTTTAAGTTATGCTAATATAGTATGCATCATAAATTGCAGTATACATCATTATGTTAAATTTACTCTTAAGTTACATGCATCATACGTCTATAATGTGACATGGCTTATGGTTATATCATGTCATTAAGGCTGCATCCTAATCAGTGTTGTCATAAGACATTGATAGGACACTGATAGGATGCTGATGGGACATAGATGGAACAGATAGGACATTTGGAATATAATATGGGACAGGTTAGGACATATAGCTAGGACAACAAATCTCTGGGATATCAAAAATGTACATCACTGCCCTAATTATAACTTAAATACTTTTTCAAGTAACAAAATCAAGAATAATTAAATCAAAAATACTAACTACTCATTAAATGAAAATTTTATCAAGTATAAAATGTTTATAAAAAGGTTTTAACAAGTTACTTCATAAAACATCTGAGCTAGATTCAGTCTTATTTAATAAATGGTTATAAAATACTACAAAGTACATAGAAGAAAAGCATTATCCCTTTTATTCTAAATGGCTAATTCTCAAGAAAAATGATCAAAGCATTTAAATAATAGGTAAATAAAGAGCAGAAGAGAAAAAATATAGATATTAATAGCATTTATAATAATATATAGTATAGATTTCACTAAAATAAATAAAGCATAATAATACTCATTAATGGTTTTTGAGTTTGAGTATTTCCTCCTATGCAATCACTCTAGTAAATATACAAATGTACTGTATAGACTTTATTTAAGAAAGTAATAAAGAGAATCAAGTATAGTAACTATACCTAATCATTTTTACCTATTTTCTGCAATTTACATTTAAACACTTGAATAAAAAACTAAAACACGCAAATATCCTGACTTGATAAAAACATGGTCCTCTAGTTAATCCATATATACATACAAATAAATAAATAATAATATGACAATATATTATCTCTGATTAAATCAGTATTGTTAATCCCTTATTAGATAGCTTAATATATATCTATGTCACATAATCACTTAGTAAATAATGATAGTAAACTATAGTAAGCAATTATTATAGCAGATAACTCTTTTACTTTACTTAACAATAAACATTGTGAATACAATATTTCAAAATACTAATTATAAGGTTCTATAAGAGAGATGCTTAGCCTATTATATATAGAAAATGTACATTATAGCAGCCGTGATCATATTAAAATCTGATTAAATTTATAAAAATTTTTGGCTAGTCAAATTTAATTAACCAATTAAATTTAAAGAATTATAATTTTGAAAATTGATATATTTTATTTTTATTTAATTATCAAATAAAGTAAGAAATTCTAAATTTTTAACAAACAAATCAATTAGCATCTATATTAATAACAGGATAAATTTAATTATATATATAATTATTTTCTTCACTTTTTTCATCCAATATTCTTAAAATCCTAAAATATCACTAGTAAATTGCTTTAATGGTTATTTATTAAATGAAAATTTTATACCTATCTGATATTTTTCAAATTCACATAAAGTCAAATTAGATCTTTTTTTAATCATACTTTATAATAATATATTAACCATTTTGATAGATATATATGATTTAAATTTTTTAATTTTTGATTTAATTTGTCTAAATGATAATCAGGATGAAACATTCAAGATAATAAAAGCAAAGATTGCTTCTAACCATGCCATCATTTTTATAATTATTAAAGCATTTTTTGTTCTAATTCAACATCTTCATATAATTTCTAAAAATTAACAAAGTATTCAAAGCCATAGAAAAATTCATGTAAATGAGTCTTATCATGTAAAATATTAATATATTACAAAAGAGATGAAGAAAAATTTCAAGTTTTTAAATTTAACTCTACCAATTATTATCAAAAAGTATATTAGTGATTTTTTTTGGTAAAGTTAAGCTGGTTTAATTGATTTGATGATTAGTATTACTGATTCAGCTAAATTATCTTATTATTAAAACTTATATGCTAATAGCTAATAAAATAAAATAAATTTATTATAATAAAATTATAAATTATAATTTTTAAAACTTTTATCTGAAATGTTAATTTAGATTTTATAAGTATTTTATAATACTTATAATGACTATTCTAATGAGTATCTCTGAATATCACTAAATGTATATAATCACTATAATTTTCTTTTTGTAGATTATGTAAATTATCAATAAAAATAAGATGTAATTAAAATTGCATTGAAACTTGTTTCTTTAAAAGAAACTGAATCTTTAAATATTTCTAAAACAAAAAAACTCATTTAGTATCATAATATAGAAGGTAGACAATTTCATAATATATTAGACGAAGACGACAACTATTAAAATATATATTAATTATAAAAATACATTAAATCTTTTATTAAATTGCTAATTACCGAGCAGTAGTATAAGCTGTAATACTATCTGTAACTATAACAATTAATTTTACTTTCATTTGTATGCATTCATAAAGCATTTGCTTGATATTCTTCTTTCCTTTTTCTTTCGCTACTAACATACCAAAACTTCACCTTTCAAAGTAACAAAAACTGATTCTAAAATATTTTGATTTAAAATATTTATTTATCTATCAAAAATAAAATAATACTAACAGGATCATTTTGTATTTTATTTTCTAAATCCAATTTTATTTTTTGTGTAGTTTTTTGTAAAATCCAACAATCAGAAAGTTCTAAAGTAAGATTAATAAAACTAAAAAGTTCTTTTATTTCTTTATTTTCCATCCATTGTAAAGATATTTCAGCTGATACTGTTACTTTTAAAACGAAATCATCAAATATCTCTTGATTTTTTTTAGAAAAAGGATGAAAAACAAACTGGTCAAGTGGTCTCAAAGGAGAAGGCATACAAATAACTTGGAGCATACTGCAACAAAACCAGACAAAGTGAACATTCTGTTATGTGATGTAAATGAGAGGCTGATTATGATATAAAATTGACCAGTGTGACTGTTGTGGATTTGTTAATTTTAATGTTCACTTTATCATACCAGAATGTTATAAATATGAACCATAATAGGATTAATATAGGACTACCTCTATATAAAAATAATATATATGAAATTAATTTACATTAAATCCACTATGGAACCCAAGAATTATAGCACTATTAGAAGTATTCTAAAAAAAAACAAGGAGAAAAAATTGCTCTCTATGTTTTTAAAATGAATAACACTCAAACATTCCAGGAATATCTAGATTAAGAAAAAATTACTTATGAAATTTATCAAGAACGAAAAATAATAAACAATAAATGAACCTTAACAACAACTTATGATGAACCAAGAAAGAAACGAAAACTAACGTAAAAGCTTTCTACAAAGGCCTCCACTTATGCTTGAGTGCATTCGTTAAGTTTTGATTCAAAGAGTCAAATATGTCAAAATAATTCCAATTTTTCATAAGCATAAATTTTATTATTTTGATTATTGAATACGTGTTCTTGAAAATATAAATAATACTAAATGCATCAGAGTGATCGCATGGGAGAAAAAATACTCGAACTCAAAGCCATTTATAAGTATAATCTATTCTTTGGTTACTCTAGTGTAAATTTTAAATTTCATTATTTTTTATACTATTACTACTAATAATAATATTTTCAGTGTCATCTATTTAATCCAGTCTTCAATAGCTTTTAGTGTGCTCTTCCTCAGATTCATTTTTCATTTGTAGAAACTTTTCAACGTGAAGGAAGCAATGTCTTTTGTTAACTCACAGATTTCGGTTGCCATTTGATTAAATGAAAATTTCAGATTCAGCTTGGCCTTTTTGTCAAACAAGTTTTTAAAGTTCTTTTCACAGTTTTTTGATGTCTGGCAAATAACTTTGTTAGCTGACTTGTTTACTTGGTTTATTATTATGCTGTTTTGTAGGCTCGATTAAATTGATTATTTTATCAATTTTTTGATTTGCAATACACAGCTGATCTTTGTGATTTTTATAATAAAAGGAATATCCAATTCTGATCAATAATCCAAGAATAAATTCGCTTGTGAGAGTAAACATTTTAAAATGATAAAGTCTATTGGATAGATTTTTGTAAAAGCAGTTTGTGAAGCTTTTTCGTAAAATAGCTCAATTTCGGTTATTTTTTATAACAAACCTTTTTTGAGTCACAATATTCAAACAAAACGCATGAATTTCTGCGTATCAATTATCATTGGTCTTATTTTGTATACAGAGGGAACAATAGTTACATTGTAGTAATACGTCATTGATTAAGTCACTAATCAGCATAGTATATTGACGACTATCAACGAAATAAATGAGAAAATCAGGACTATTAATAATAAAATTAAAGAAACAAAAAAAGCTCTTGGGATAGTTGAAGGGAAGACCATTCTCGCTTTCCTTTATGAAGAAAGAAAAGAGCTGCAAAAGCAGTGGACTGTGCTTTTAGGCCAGCAGACAGGTAATGACTTTATGACTCAGGCGTTGAGACAGAGTAGTGTAGGGTAGATATAGTGATATGCTTCTTGCTTATAAATTTATTCTATTAAGTATTCCATACACACTCTTATTGCTTGCACCTTGTAATATTATCTTAATCCATTTTTTATACTTTCAGAACGTCTCCTAAATGAAGAAGAATATCTGTCATTTATTCTTCCAACCATTATTTATTCTCTAGATGCTAGTACTTCAACACATTCTACATGTAGCGGGGTCTCTGGCCATCAAGAATAATTCCCTGGAATGGATTTCTTGAAGAAGTAACTCAATTCAGCTTCGATCAAAGAGAGCAAAAGTTCAGTAGGCCCCAATTTGTTGAAGGTATAAGAGCTCACGTTGAATATAATGTTAAAACTGCTATGGATTTTAATATCTTTCGTACATTGAATTCGCTTTTGTCCCCAACATTTGAGTTTTTAAAACAAAAAGATTCTGACTTTAATTTTGATGATTCAAACATTGGCCTTGGAAAATCAGATTTTACTTGCCAAAAGTATGATAGTTCTAATGATCATACAGGAAAAAGAATCATAGAAATCAAAAGAGACTGTGTTATGACACAGTTACGTGAGATTAGTTTAAGTGAATTATTTGATGAACACTTTACTGGTCATGCACGTGGCGATTTGGTTAACGTAATTAGTCAGGTTTACAACTATATGATCGTGGACAAATTACAATATGGCATAATTGCAACCTATAATTACCATTGGTTCTTTCACCGTCCAAATGCTGATCTATCAATACTATTAATTTCTGAATCTCTTCTGTTACAGTCAACAAGTCCGCCAGTATTCAAAACTTATGTATACTTGGTCCGCCTGGTAACAAGTAAACCTAAATCACCTCATCTAAATGTAATTTCAGGACGAACTAGACAAGATATCAGAGTACAAGGTTTCAGAATTCAAAACTTGGGTTTCTATAACCAAAGTTTCAGTCAAAGTTTGGGTCCAGATAGTAGTTATCACAACCAGCAAGGTTTCAGGGATCAGACCTACAAGGATTTCAAGCTTGAGGGTATTCTAGGATGTGAACAAACTGGGAGGACATTTTGAGCCAGATTCTATGGAGAGCCAATTGCTTTGAAGGTTATTGATCTATATAAGGAAGCTGATCTCTTGCATAAAATTCAAAAAGAAATTGAAATATACAAAAAATTCAAGGAATATATATTTCCAAATTGGTGTCATGGTTATTATGGATATGGGATGGGTATTTTATGGGTGTCACTATTGTTGGTACTACTTTGAATAACCATAAAGTAAGTTGTAACCAAAAGTATAGAGCATTGGAGGCCTTAAATGCTATTTATACTTATAATGTTCTTCATAATTATATCTGATAAGAGAATATTTTAATTAATGAAAAAGGTGAAATTTATATCATTGATTTTGGGATGTCTGTTGTAACTGATAATAGGGAGTTATTTTGTGAAGAGGAATGTGAATTATCCAGTTTAGTGTGTAGAATTAAAACTGGTTCTTATGAAACTACTCAAAGGTTCACTCCCCTGATCTCAGTCTTCAAATAAAATTAATGGAGATGTTCTTGCAAAGCGTAAATTTGCACTTATAGGGTTGTTTACAGCATTCTACCAACTAAGTACTATTAGTGGAATTATCTCAAAACATGTGAAGGATCATTATGTTGAATGTTTATTGTGTGAGTTTGCACAATGGGCACGATATTATGAATGGAAGGTAGAGGGTCAGTTAGATTACAGTAAATGGATACTGAAATTCAAAGTAAGTCTAATACTAAACCTTTGAAATATAAAAAACGTCAAATGCTAGTTTATTAAACTAAACATCTTTTCCTTCAGGAAGCAGATAATGCCGTAATTTCAACAAAAATGGTTTCTTCTAAAATAATTTCCTATGAAAGTTGTTCGTTATACTAAAAATTCTATATAGGCTTATTGAAGACCTGTAATGATTGCAAGTTTTTATCAAACTTCCTGCTTGACAGTAGATTTAGAAATTTATTATAGACTTAATGCTATTGACAGAGAATCCTAGTTTATTAATTATCAAAATTAGCATGATGATCTAATCATGTGTGTGCTATATGCAAATTGCTATATTAATATATACAAGTAATAAAATTTATATATAGGATTATCCGTATATGACAAATAGTAAATACAATAGCTCTACTGAATACGAAAAAGCAATATGTTTCCTGAAATTAGGTTGCAATTGTGGTTGCTCAAGAAAGATTCTGAGAGAAAGTTTTGCTGAATTACATGAGACGTTTCAAGTTCTCTCTAGATCTGAACAAGATATATTTTTAATGGCTCAGTTGAGAGCAATGAATGGTGGAGAGATAACTGCTAGTCAACGCCTTAAAAAGAAAACACGTACTAATAAGCGAACATTTTATTATTAAGATCGCAATACGCTACTTTGTCAGAAAACGTATCTCAATATGTTAGAAATTGGTCATATGCACTTCGAAAATGTCAGAAATTATCTAGCAACTGCGTATTTGGAAAATCAGGTTTTGAGAAATTTTTGACTAAAATTAAAAGCTTAATACATTTTAATCTAATAACATCAAAAACTAAAATGCAATAAAAATCTCAATTTCACTTAAAAATTCCTGGAACCTGATTTTTCTAACAATCAACCCATTTATGGTAATATAAAAAGAATGCCGCGATGAAAAACTAAAATAACCATTGATATAGCGGTTGCTACTGCTGTGAAGAATTTTCTTGAAAACTATGCTTAAATCAATGGATTATCAAATCCTGGTAGAAATGTCAATCACATTACTCAATCGCTTACATTATTGCCAACCTAAACGAGTTATAAATTGGTCTATCATGATTTTATTGTAGGTCTCAAAATGATAGCACATTGAAATTGTTAAAATATGACGCATTCCGCAAGTTATGACAAGCTATGCCACGTGAATAATATGAAGAATTAAATTGATTTTCCATGGTCGCGGCTTACCAATATCCTTACGTGATCCAAATATACCTCTATAGATATTATTGAATAAAAATGAGTTTTGCAAAAAAATGAGCTCACAAGCATTTAAAGACACATGAAGAAGACCTAGAATAGGTAGAAATGATATAATAAATGAAGGAATAGATACTTTATTAACAAGAAGCCTTTGTGCGATAGCTTTATGAATAAAGAGCTGACTAGGTCAATCTGCAACAACAAGAATTATATGATTGGCAAGATATGTTTGCATTAGTTCATGATCATGCATTATTTAGAGAGTTTTCATATAATCTTCTACACCTTTCAAATTGCTCTCAATAAAATTGACAAGAATGGCATTCTGTATATACCTTTCACTTTTTTTTCTGCTAGTCTGTCATTATAACTATACAAAGTTAGCCTATCAATAAGCTCATCATCAAAACATTCTCTACTTGTAAAATCTCATATACGCTACAATTATGATATGAAATGTCTTTCAATTAATTCATTAATAACCTTTGAATTTATTGCTCCTATGTGTAGTATCGCTGGTGTGAAACATGGATTTGCTATAATCGTTACTATATGTGTCACCCAAGACATGCTTGTAGTATCAGGTCACCTTTGAGTATGAATGTTATGATAATCATCAACATTCAATATAAAAGCATTTTGTGAATATTTTGTAAGAACATTCTCTACATATTTTTCATGTGCATCTGACATCCTCTTCTTCTTGTGATCTATTATTCTTACTATTATAGTCATGCCAAGGTTTGCCATAGTATTCAATCCTTCATTGCTTGTTTCTGCTGAATCTAAATAAAATGCAAGATCAAGCTTGAAAACATTAATCTTTGTATTGTTTAACGAAGCAAGGAGATAACAAATGAACACCATTATTTTTTTCATATGATCCATAGTTTGACTATTACGCTTTGATAGTTGAGCAGCTAAATAAAGCTGATTTCAAGTCTGGTTCCTTTTTTTTAAAAAAACCTTGCATTTCAGCAAATTCATAAATTGGATCTTTTTTTCTATACATTCTCTTTTATACAAGATTTTTGCCATAGACTTTACAGCCTCAGTAAAATCAAAATTAACGTTAGTTGTATCCATTTCTTCCTCAATTTCATTAATTTCTCTTTCTAAATCTTTGGACTTAATTTCTTTCCATTTTTTATTACCTAACGAATGAAATTTTATTGAATTATTGGTCTGAAACTCTATACATCTTTTGCTCTCTGCCATATTAAATAAAATTGTGAGATTCAAAGGGATTCAAACAATATTCATGTTCTACAGAGCGAAAATCTCAAATTTGCTTAATCGTGATATTGGCATTTCAAATAGCACAAAGTTGTAATACAACATCTCTAAAAGTACTTTAAACCATATAAAATAATTTCAACTAAATTGTATAACATTCAACTAAAATTAGATACAGTTCTATCTGTATAGGATTGCCCATTTTCTCATTTTTTGCAATGTTAAACTCAAATTATGCTTACTTTACATAGTTAAATATGCTTTATTTTTTTTATTATTTTCAAAAAATGCTAAAAAAATGCTATAATTTCATCAAATTACTTATGATTATTTGCTGTCTATTACTAAAAATATTGATATATGCTGAAAAACTTCATTCTACATCTACTCCAGATACTGAAAGCCAAATATATTCTAACTATTAATTCTACCTGGTGATGCTCTGGGATCACTTTGCGATAAAAAAAGGATAAAGTTTTAACAAATTCTAAGATAAGTTATGTTTAGTTAGGTTGGATTGGAGTTAAAATTGGAGTTGTTTGGGTTAAAATCAAATTAGAATGGTTAATTTTAGAGATATGATTGAATTGAATTGAATTAGATTGTAATTAAATCGTTATTAATTAAGGTTTAGTCTGGATTAGGGTGAATTATATTAAATTCAGATTATGTTAGAATAAAGTTTGAGTTATGATCTAGTTATGATTTGGTTATAGATAATTAAGATAAGAATTTGTATTTTAAGACTCTATAGGTAACTTTATATTTTTACATAATAATGGGTAATTTTTTCATTTCTTTTAGGTAATTAAACTTTGGATCACCAGAAAATTAATTCAATATTTGCTCATAAATACTTTCTCCAAAATTGATTTTAGATCAGCTTAAGATCTTACCAACTTTCAAAGCTATTTCAGCTTCCAGTGATCCAATTTGAAAAATAATAACTTATTTTAAAGCTCTCTTAGTACTAAATCTAGTTATCTTGAATTAGTATTTCTATGACCTTTAGATCATATGATTGCTTCATTTCAAGGATTTCAAGAATTTGCAGTTTAAATAATTGATTTTGAACACTCATGGATAACCCTATTTTCTTACATATTAATATACAATTTTCTCACCTCCTTTAGATTTTCAGATGCTGAAATTAGCATTTAGTATCATTACTTTCTGGACAGCTCCTTTTGCTTCAGTTTCGAGAATTATACTTGCTTAAGTTTCTTTCATAATAAACCTCAAAATAATTGCTTTTAGTTATTCTCAAATATCTTCAGATTGAGTGATTAGATCAGGATAGGATCGACAAACTCTCACCAGAGCAAATAATTATATCAAAAATACTTCTTACGTTCCTAAAAATAATAAAAGAACTTAACAAAAAAACAGTAGTGAACAGTTTATTAACACTTTTGTAGATATGAACGAACAAACTTTATTGGAAACTCCTTTTACAAACAACAAAAAAACAAAAAATAACAACAGAAAATATGAAAACTTCTCAAATAATCATTAATAAAGTTATCAAAAATATTATCCTTACCATTGATAACAATAACTAAAACTCTGAATGGTTCGGATTAATCTGAAAATTTTCAGTTCAGATCAACTTCAGTTCAGTTTTAGATTGCAAAAATTTCAATCCGAAAATTTCAGATTAATCCAAAATTTCAGATCGTTTGGAACGATGAAATTATCATTCCAAATGAACGATAAAAAAATAGTTTGATTGGAACGATCAAATTATCGTTCTAAATGAACAATAAAAGAATCGTTTGATTGGAACGATTAAATTATCATTTCAAACGAACGATAAGAAAATCGTTTGATTGGAATGATGAAATTATTGTTCTAAACGAATGATAAAAGAATCGTTCAATTGGAATGATTAAAACATCGTTCTAAATGAACGATAAGAAAATTGTTCGATTAGAACAATTAAATTATTGTTTCAAACGAACGATAAAAGAATTGTTCATTTAGAACGATTGAAGTTATTGTTCCAAATGAATGATAAGAAAATCGTTCGATTGAAATGATCAAATTATTGTTCTAAACGAATGATAAAAAAATTGATCATTTGGAACGATTGAAGTTATCATTCCAAACGAATGATAAGAAAATCGTTCGATTGGAATAATCAAATTATCGTTCCAAAAGAACGATAAAAGAATCGTTTGATTGGAATGATTAAATTATCGTTCCAAATGAATAATAAAAGAATCGTTTGATTAGAATGATTAAATTATCATTCTAAAAGAACGATAAAGAATCGTTCATTTGGAATGATTAAAGTTATTGTTTCAAACGAACGATAAGAAAATCGTTCAATTGGAATAATCAAATTATCATTCCAAAAGAACGATAAAAGAATCGTTTGATTGGAACGATTAAAACATCATTCCAAATGAACGATAAAGAATCGTTTGATTGGAACGATTAAATTATCATTCTAAAAGAATGCTAAAAGAATCGTTCAATTAGAACGATTAAATTATCATTCTAAAAGAACGATAAAAGGATCATTCCAAACGATCTGAAATTTTGGATTAATCCGAAATTTTCAGTTCAGTTCAGATTTTTACCAGTTTACAGTTCAGTTTAGTTCAATTTCGGATTGGCCTATAATCTGGACTGAACTGAACTGTTCAGAGCATTAATAACAACTAAACACCTTCTAACACTGAAAAAGAAAACTATCAACATGAAAATAGATAACATTGTTCCTTCAACTTCTAACTCCACAGAAAACATACATAACGTCCCTCTTCTAACTGCTAAAGACTCTATGCATGCAAGACAAATTC